AGTATAGTATAGTATAGTATAGTATAGTATAGTATAATATAATATAATATAATATAATATAATATAATATAATATAATATAATATAATATAATATAATATAATATAATATAATATAATATAATATAATATAATATAATATAATATAATATAATAGTCATCAATCCATGTGATTGTCATAACATGGCTGGGCCCCAGCACTGATGAGCCCCCGTTGGAGGAGTAGTGGAGGACATATTATATTATACTCCCTCCATACTGGTATTAGATGTCGTTCTGCCCAGAAATTGAATCAAAGGAAGTCGTTCTAGGGTCCGAGTGAAGAATTGGACGATGCTGCCCCTCGCGCTTCGGCTCCCGCGCCGCGCGTTAATAGCCCGCAGTCGATCTCGTTTCCCCGGCCGCGCGTTAATAGGCCACTACAGCCGCACGCCGCTCCCTTTATTAAATCGCGTTCCTCTCGTAGTTCGCCACACGCCGCTCCTGCTCGCTCATGCCGCCGTTCGCCGTTCGCCGCACGCTGCTCGTGCTCGGCATTCGCTCCTGCACCATGGATGCCTCGCCAGACTCCAAGATGGAGATGGAGATGGTGCATGCTCCAATGTCATGTTGTATTTTTAAGATAAAAAGAAACACATTCACGGCATGTTCTATTTATAGGGGGAAAAACAAACACTTTCATGCAATACTTATTCACGGCATGTTCTAATTATTGGGGGGAAAACAAACACTTTCATGGAGTAGCATCATGAGCATGGATCTAGTACAAGAATGTGATTGTGACAAAAAAAATTACCAGCAAGATTTTGTACAAAGTCCAAATCAACTGCACCGAACTCATCTAGTGGTAGGTTTAAATCCAGTACTGTAAAAAAACAATAATGAGATCTGAAATAATATGAACAAGCAATGAACGGATAGATCGAAGTGATGCATTTACCGTCATCTTGTTGCCCTTGGAGATCAAACACGCCGTCGGCATCATTGGCGCCGTCGTATTCTGTCTCGTTGAAATCAAACACGTCATTCGGGTTGGGGCCGTCATCTTCTTATGCCGGAAAGTTGAGATCACCTCACGTTAATGCAGTGAATATCAAAAAAAATGAAAGAAAAATGAGTAAGAATGAGCACGTTACCATTGTTGTTGTGGTCCTCTAGTATAGGCTCGTTGAGATTGAAGAATGAGCCGTCGTCATCTTCCTCCATACGAACGTTCAGATCGAAGCCATGGAGGACATGGCTGGATGAACAAGCCATGGCTGGATGAACAAGCAAGTGAAGAGAAGAAGCTAAGCCATTGCTGGATGAACAAGCAAGTGAAGAACAGGCAAGGCAAAGGCAGTAGTACCGGCGTTTTTAATGCGTGAGCAAAAGGCGAGCCATCGGACCCGGTGGGCGTGGCCGTAGCGCGTAAGCGAGCGAAAATGTCGCGCCTCGCGTGCCCAAGCGAAACAAACCAATGACGAAAAAATTCAACCGGCGAACAAAATATTCGGCGCGACCCACGCGCCATCGGCAAAAAATTTATGCGGCATAGGGTGCCTGAGACGCGCCTACGCGAGCCGGCCGACCCGGCGTGCACGCGAGAGCAAGCGGCGACGTGCGCAGGGCCATACAAATTCCCCATGCAAAATCCACGTAGAGGTCAAAAAATATAATGCGGCCATGGAGTTCGATCCTGGACCTCCAGCCTCGGGCCGTGGAGAGCTTACCAGTCGGGCTATTAAGAATTGTTGTATAGGAGACACCCGCAGGCCTATTTAATAAGGGCAAAGAAGGAAAACTCCCTTCTAATTGATCACTCTTTGACACTCCTTGGTATGCGCAATCATGTCTTAAACGACTTCTAATACCAGTATGGAGGGAGTATTATGAGCAGTGGAGGGCAAGATCACAGGAGGAGCAATTATATATAAGCAGTGCTCGTTCGTGCTCAGATACGGGATGGACACAGATGGTCAGGTCATGTGCATCACGAGCGAGCGTCTCTGTGTGTACACGGATGAACACCATCACGATTCACGAGGGAGCTCTCTCCACCCGAGGGACAAGTGGACAGAGACGCGACTGTTGCGGAAGAAACGGCAGCGTCCACAGCAACGGCACTGTTGTACTGTAACAGCAGGACCAACGTGACAACAGTGAGCTACGGCTACGGGTGCCCTGCACCCGCAACAGCCGGCAAACGTGCCCGACTGCTCGCTCGGTTGTCGGTACCCTTTCCGCGCAGACTTCACGGGCTTTCCAGCCAGCCAGCCGTGGTGTCTAGCCGGAGGCCCGCCCAGCGGGGCGCCTCATGGTTCATATCGTTGCTGGTTTGTAAAGAAGTACTGTTAACTGGTTTGTGTGAGAGAAAAATACTGTTCCGGCTGAAAATTTATGATCGTTTACGACAAGCCACAGCCAAACGAATGGGTTGTTGCTACTTCCCGGTGAGTCGGTCACATTTCCCTTTCCGTTTCCGGTGATCGCTGGCTGGAACCGGTAGAGCGAGCCGGGGGGGCCTCGTGCCGTCCCTCCCCTTCGGACAAATCATTGGTCCGGCTGACGCTCACACCAGTCGCTGACGGTAGTGATGCCGCATCCCACTGTTTGGGAGCCCGGGCCAATATCATCGCCGTGCACGTACGTTTTCGTCCGGTTTGCAGCGGGTGCCTTTCAGTGAGGTTGGTCCGTTGGAAGCTACTCATGCGCATCAGCGCCCTGTTAGGTAAGGTGGTTGCAACCAACCGATCCGCTATGCTGTTCACCCGATCGACCGCGGCTCAGTGTCTGTTCTTGCCTTACGAACCGTGCAGGTACGTGCCAATAATTGGAGCTGGAACCTCCACGACGCTTCTAGATCAGTAGAGTACTGTACAGTTTGTAGACGTGCTACGTACCGATGGGTTCTGCTGCACAGGATCACGTACGTGCACGGCGATGCGTCTAAAAAAAAGAAAAAACCTGGAAAGTCTGAGCACGAGGGAAGGGAAGGGGACAGGACAAGACAAACGTTCGAATTGATTTGATTTGATGCATGCCTTGTTCTTCTGTCGGCTCGGCTGCCACGTCGCGTACGAGTACTCCTACTATAGGCCAGGGCCGGGGAACAGGATCACGTGCGCTATAGTAGGAAGATACTCCTCCTGCAGTCAGCAGTCCTGCTCCTTCTGCGCGTTGTAGTGCGCCCAATAATTGAGTCCTCCATGCACCGCATCTTGTGTCTCCCTCGTGCGCTCTTTTCCGAGAGGGGATCGGAGGTTAGCCTGCCTCGGAAATACTCCACCCTTCCCCTGTCTGTCTCTGCATACTGCATGGGAAGACAAGCACTCGAAGCCAGGGCAGCCCGTGTGGGCGTCGCGGCCGGCGACGACGTGCTGCGCTGTCGAAACGCAGCGGCTGCCGGCCTCCTGCCAGCCTCTGCAGCTTTGCCTATTTTCGGCAGGCGCCACGCCACGCGTGTGACGAAGGCTGTGGCCTCCTCTTCTCAGCTTGCCCTCACGGGCCAGGCGCCACCACGTGTGCTCATAGCGGCGCGCCAGCACGTGTCAGCAGTCAAAAGGATGTGGTGCAACCTTTGCAAAGAGATGATCGATCTCACTGACACTGGAGTCACGCACTGCGGCACTGTACAGTGTCTTTGGCATGCCTGCCTATAACAGCACAGTGAAAGACTGAGCAGCCAAATCACTCGTCAGGTGTCTTGGCTCAACACACGCAAAGCTTCCGCTGCTCCTCGCCCCACCCAACGCGGCAGCCGGCAGGTTCTTCGCGGACTTTCATGTCTTCGTTCCGCGCCCGTGATCCGTGATGAAACCTCAGCTCACGCCGCACGTGTTTGGGTCGTCGAAACAGTGGAGTGGGTTCGCTGTTTCTGAAAGATTGGCTGCTACTCTGCTGCCATGCCTGCGTATCACCACAAGGGCAGAGACTTGCCACATGGGCACAGGGCACTCGATGCGCCCGGGCCCGGCGCATCCACCTTCCCTCGAGCCTCTGTAGCCGCCACTTACTGTGGGCGTCTCTAACGTGTTGCTGCCCGAGCGCTGGCTTTCACCCATCGTGCTCGCAGATCAGCAAATTGCAACGGGGCTGTAGACTGATCGCGACTGAAAGAGACCCTTTTGAAAAGGGATATACAGAAAGGGAGTGAGAGAGACTCAGCCTATGTTTAGTTTAAAAAGATTCCCAAAAAATACTACAGTAGCCACCGCATTGAATCTTGCGATACGTGAATGGAGCATTAAATGTAGACGAAAAAAAACTAATTGCACAGTCGCGAGACGAACATTTTGAGCCTAATTAGTCCATGATTGAATATTAATTGCCAAATAAAAACGAAAGTGCTACAGTAACCAAATTCTCAAATTTCGTGAACTAAACACAGCCTCAGAGAAAGCAACGTTTATAATCATTTGACTCGTTCTAGTGCATGAGCGACGCATAAATGCCGAGAGATGTAAGCATCAGCGTAACTGTGATCAAGGAAATGCTCATCACGCCACGCAAGGTACGGTTGCGTGCTGTAGGTGTCGTTCAGAAGAGGAATCAGGAATTCGTGGTCTGTTTGGCTGACATTAAAACCGGCTGAAGCTGTTTTGTTTTGTTGTGAGAAAAAAATACTATAGATTCTAGTGAGGGGCCCGGTTTCGTGAATCTAGCGGCAGATCGGACGCTCCAAAAGGTTTTCAGTTCAAACCTTTTCCAATAATCACTACTAGATCAAAAGCCATCCAAGATCTATATAACTGCAGTGCTGGAAGCATGTTAGAGTACAAAGCAGGGCAAGTCCTGCTATTTTTCCCCTTGCTTAGGTAACTAGGGAGACAGTACAGTACATACAGAGGTAAAGATTATGTACAAGTCATCAGAAAGCAAACATGAACACCACGACGCACGCACTAGAAGCTATCTGGAGCAGCGTATCCATGGCAAAACTGTCACTCTGGCAGGGTGGCCAGGCCGCTGACATGAAGGGCAGAGCATGAGGATGACTCCATGATCAGATAAACGGGTAGCTTCATCTGATGTAGGCGACATGGCCGAACTTGGCCGCCGGGATAGAGCGCTCGAACTTGGTCCTGATCATCTCGGCCACCTCGCTCAGCAACACCTTCACGCCGCGCGGAAGGCCAGCCTGCGCCATCGACCGCCGCTTCCCTGTCTTCGCCGCCGCCGCTGAACCGGCAAGGTCGTCACGATCGTCATCAGCCGCGACGACCTTTACTACCGCTTCGTGAAGCCATGGCAGCAGCTGCAACTTTGAGAGCGCCGTCTCTGTGTCGCCATCGCCATGGGAGATGCCAAGAGGGGTGCAGGAAGACGATCCAGTGCTAGCACCATCCATCTCGGCCGCCTGATCAGTGATCACAGTGTGTTTGCCTGATGTGTCTCTGCGGAGCGTGGACTGCAGGGGAGAGCAGCGCCAGCGCGGGTTTATTTATGGACGAAGCGCGCCTGACGCGATGCAGGAGGTGGCTGCCGGCTGGTGCATGGGCGCGGGGCAGACGAGGACGAGGCCAATGGCGTTCGGACGTCGGCGCCGTGCCGGATCGTCCGGCTGCATGCGAGCCCCGGACAGCGACGTGGGAGACGACTTGGTGTTATACACTGGGCGCGCGTTTCTCGCTCGCTGATTTCAGCGATCGGTTCTGAGCTATATAAACAATGCGTGTCATCAAATGCGTATCAAGATTCCTCTCAAAAAATAAAAAATGCGTATCAAGATTCAAGAGCTGACGGACGTCATCAGGATAACTACAAAAAAACTGGACCTGCGAGATCAGGATAACTACAAGACAGCTGAAAGTTGTTCAACAGCGTCTGTTTAGAAATTGTTCAACAGAGAAGGGACAAAAAAGCTACTATTCTTTATTAAATTAACAGTATTGCTGTATCGATCGTATCCAACAGATCTCTTACACCGAAAATTTATATTAAAAAACTAAGTGTTTTATAGGATTTGCACTCTCTGATTACGGCATGTTTGGAAGGCAGAAAAATACAGGAACACAAAAAAAAATCTCGTATTTGAAACAGAGCCTTAAAGGTTTGTAAGAATCGGATGAATCATTCTCTGCACCCGAGGTTTTAGTTACAACAAATTTATCTAGAAATTATATCAAAATAACCACCACAATTCTAGTACAAGTCAAGCGTAAATCTGGAGCAAGTTGACAGCAATTAGAATTTGAGTATGAGAGAGAATTATTTCGCCTGAGTTTATAGGAAGAAGAAAGGAAAAGAAAAAGGAAGCATATTTTTAAAATTTATGTCCAAAAGTCGTCAAATCTTCACGAAACGTTTCTCTTATACTACTGTCTTGTTGGTTTATAAATTACCAAGAGAGTATAGCCAAATAGAAGAAAGGATACCAAGTGCCAATCACTGCTGAAGATTTATACCCTCTTGTCACATGCCCACGGCCTGTATACAAACGTTTATGTACGTTTGCCAATTGCTGTTGTTGCTTCATCTGAATACAAGCATGCAAGAGTACTGGAGTAGAGAACGAAGGCTTCCGGTGTATAATATTGCTCGAGTTTTGAGCCACACTCTGCATCTCACTGTAACAGCAGACTGAAAAAGGAGAGAAACAAGAAGAACCTTACAGGGATGCGCACGATCCTAACCAATAGCACCTCGCCACCTCGTCTTCGTCTGTACACACACGCACGCTTGCACACCGCTGCTCAAGCACGGACGTGTCACGTCACGCCTTCTGCTCGGCCGGCAGATGCCACACCCAGAACTCCTCCTTCGGGCCGGCGCCGGGGCGCTTCCTGGGGCTCGCCTTGGGCGACATGGGCCTCCGCCGGCGGACGTCCTTCCTCGGGGCCCGCTCCTTCTTCTCCTCTGCCGCCGGGGCCTCCGCCGCCGCCACGAACAGCACCACGGGGCCAACGGGGCCCACTGGTCCCACGGGCACGTCGTCGTTGAGGTCGAGCAGCGGCTCCAGTGCCTGCACGACGGCGGACATGTCCGGCCGGTTCTTGGGGCTGCTGCTGAGGCACCGGTACGCGACCAGTGCCGCGCTCTGGGCCGCCCGCGCCGAGTACTGGCCCTCCATGGCCGGGTCCATGATCCTGACCAGCCTGAGCGGGTCCTTGAGGCACGGCCGCGCGTAGTACACCAGGTTCTGCTCCCGGCTGGGCCGGGTCTTGTCCACGGACCGCCGCCCCGTCAGGATCTCCAGCAGCACCACGCCGAAGCTGTACACGTCGCTCTTCGCCGTCAGGTGGCCCGTCATGATGTACTCCGGCGCTGCGTAGCCGTGCGTTCCCATCACGCGCGTCGACACGTGGGTGTCGTCGCCCTCCGGTCCGTCCTTGGCGAGACCGAAGTCTGACAGCTTGGCCTTGTAGTCCTGGACATGGATGGATCGAAAACATCAGCATTTTGTTTTTGAGCAACGAAAACATCAGCAATTGGAACGCTTCTTGTGGTTGTTGCTTGTTGGGCTTAGTCTTACGCCAGTGGCGAAACTGGGTTGGGCCTACATGAGGCCCCTATTGAGAACCTCAGTCGGACCAGCCCAAGCAATATACAATTAGCCCACAATACTATGCTGTTCCATTTAATTGTTTTTTTTCTTTTTCTCTACTTATAGACAGATAAAGTAGCATGATTCCACTAAAAAAAAAAGATAAAGTAGCATGATTCCACTCAATAACTAAAAATATCATATATTAAAATAATTGCAGATGACATGGCTAAAAGGACTCTGAAAGACACTATGTCTGAATCAGAAAAGTCTCTGAAAGTCTGAACCTATGTTCACTGCGAGTTTGCATTGAAAAGTTCTTATGATGGTTACTGCTAAGGTCCTGTTTGGATCCCTCCAGATTTTTAAGAATCTGGCTATTAAAAACTGGGAGGGATCCAAACAGGCTAGTTTTTTCTCCTAGTTTTTGGCAGATTCTTAAAAACCAGGAAGGTGTTGGTACCCAGTTTTTGCTAAATGAAATCAGATTCTTAAAAACTGAGGTCCAAACATCCCCACTAGTTTTTGCTTAGAATCCAGATTTTAGAAACTAGAGATAAAAACTGGTTTTTAAAAATCTAAAACCCATCAAACAGGCCCTAAACAGTAGTAGTCGGACAATGTATGACGCACATCATCACCATCTACGCCGAAGTAGTCAATTAAGATGACATGGGCTAATTGCAGAAAACCACTCACCGAGTCGAGCAAGATGTTGGAGGCCTTGAAGTCACGGTAGATGACCGGCTTCTCAGCGTCGTGGAGGAACGCCAAACCCTTCGCGGCGCCTACTGCAATGTTTAGTCTGGTCGACCAGGGCAGCACGGCAGGAATCTCTGCAGAGATATCACAGAAAATTCAGTATGAAAAATCTTCACAATGCGATTTGGAATTACATTATTCATGCATGGAATGTTTATTGTTCTGCATACATCATCGCACATCTGCATACATCATCGCACATTCAGACAGAATGGGCCTATCAGTATTATTGCAGCAGGATTTCAGGAGCAGAACAGTGTGGGAGCAGATTTTTTAGATTAAGCAGCTGCTTTTTTAGATTAAGAGTGTGGCAGCAGATAGACGACCTGATCGCTGGTTCTATAAAATTTTGATTTAACCCACAACTAGATGTATAACAATGTGGAAACAGATGCAGTCAACGCGTTGGTCGATTTCCTTATGACCAAGAACGGATCAATCGGTGATCGACATTGATCCAGCAACTATATGTGACATCACTAGCTTCTGACCTGTGAGCCCTGTCCCTATCCAGTGTGCTGTGCAAGCAAGCTGCCTATGATCAAAATCAAATGCTAAGCTCCGGGTTCTGCTAATACAATTACAAGTTAACAACGCCATGCGTCTTGCATTTGGGCAGAAGAGTTCAGTCAAATCTGGTTTCGTCAGAGCGAACTCAAAAGCTTGTTGGAAGGTGGTTCAAGCAAGGGAAACCTAGTCCACCATGCAATGAATTTCCTACAGACTGAAACATCTTGCAAATTCCCTCCACGCAGCCACCAACTTGAAACAAAACCAAAAAAAATCATTTCTTTCCAATAATTCCTCTGGTTTCGTGAGCTTATATAATAAGTATAACAATGGTTAGTAGGTAGGAACCCGGTTTTCTTGCTAACCATCATGCTCAAGCATATGCCAGGTCAACACTCAACGAGACTTGTCAACCTTATCTCACATCAGTACATCTCACCAATGCAAATAATTAATCTACCATATGGTTTCATGGTCTTATGGACGATGGAGATGGAGTGTAGTAGCAGTGTACTCACGTTTGAAGAGGGGGTTCTCCAGGCTGCCGTGCTCCATGTACTCGTAGACGAGCAGCCGGTGCTCGTCCTCGCAGCAGTAGCCCACCAGCTTCACCAGGTTGGGGTGCCGCAGCTGCCCCAGGAAGATCACCTCCGCCTGCGCCCACAACAAAAAAACACGCCGAAATCGCGTAAGAACCCGCCTGCCACGCCCATTTTTTTGAGTTTTTCCCCCGATCGGGGCCGCGCGCGGCGCGATGGGCCACCCAACTTATCCGTCGCTGCCGCCGGAGCCCGGAACCGTCGCGACTCGCGATCGCTCAACCACCAAGGCTACTGCCGCTAGCGCCCTCGGCGTCAGCTTCCGCCGCGCACGTCCGCGTCTCGTTGCCCGCCGAGATATCTCAGCGCCCGATCGAGACGCCGATCGTGCCGTGAACACGACCGGTATCTATCTCGACATTTTTTATTAAACTGATGCCGATAGAAACTTATGTTTTGAACTGGTAGCACTGATGATTTCCTAGGATTTTTTAATACAGTAAGTATGTGTTACTTCCGAGAGATTTTTTTTTCGATAAATAATTCCAAGAGATTTGGTCAAACTGGCCGTGCGTATGTGTATGTAGTGTAGGTGTCTTGGAAGACCGAGCTTTCTTTCCGTATGGGATTACTCAAGATTGCACTACTTGCACCAGGTGTCATGCCGGGAACTAGTAGTTTGCCATTGTCATAGTAGAAAGGAGAATTGGGTTTAGTGATCCTTGTAAGGGAACTGACCGGCTAGCAGCTAGCTTGGGTTCACCACAAACAAGATCACTCTCTTTCACTACAAGAAAGAAAGCTTAAAAAGGTTTTAAAGTTTTGGAGACTACGACTACGTACGACGATTCTTCCAAGGAAGCTTTGCTATAATAATAACGATCTAGAAGGACTAGAACAAGTACCACTAGACTCGCGACCGAAGCTTGCTAATCACTGCACGCGGATCGGAGTAGTAATTAACCAGCACACGTGGCGTAATTTGACGTGGTACTTACCAGCCACTCCTTGTGGCCCTGGGCGCCCTCGGGGTCCCAGAGCTTGACGGCGATGGCCTGCGGCTTGAGCCCCTTCTTGACGCCGTCGTCGACGAAGCCCTTGTAGACGGGGCCGAAGCCGCCCTCGCCGAGGAAGTTGCCGGAGACGAAGCCGCGCGTGGCCTCGCGCAGCTCCGCCACGCTGAACACGTGCAGGTTCGACCCCACCAGCGACACCGACAGGTCCTGGTCCGCCGCGCCGCTCAGGTCCGTGAACGACAGCCGCCCGCCTCCGCCGCCGCCCGGCCGCACCTTCCGCTGTCTGTCCCCCGCCGCCCTTCCCCCTCCTCCGCCGCCGAGGCAGCTGCCCAGGAGCGACCTCCACGCCGACGTCTTCGATTTCCTGGTCCTCATCGATCGCCGCCGGTCGGCCCGTATACTGCGTGCAGCGCTGCCGATCGACCGGTGCACGCGCGCACGAAGTGCAAGAGCGAGACAAAAAGAAAAGAGTAGGCTCGCGATGGATGAGGTGGTCCGAGTTTGCTTGTTGAGAGGATGTGTGGTGTGGGGTAGGTTGTCTGTGCGGCCAGCTCGACGCACGGGGCGCGGTGGATATATAGGCGCGGACGCCGGGCGCCGGACGGGGCCGCGCGCGACGCCACGGGGATGGCTCTGGTCGGGGCTGGGTCGGGGGGTTGAGGCGCGAGCGGCGCGCTTGCTTTGGGACACGCCGCGGAAATGCCCCCTGCCCGCTGGGCTATACTACTAGTATACAATTCGTTGCTGTCGTTGTTGCAGAGTCTGAGGCATCTCTCGCCATCGCTCACGCCTCACGGGGTCTGGCTTTGCGAGAGTAGGTAATGTGTTTGATTATTATTTTTGCTTAGTTTTTGTAGTACTCCATTATGCCAGCGATTGGAACGGAACGAAAGAAAGATTCAGCCTTTTTGTAGGAATGGAAGAGTCTCCGGTTCTCCGCTGATCAGATCACTGCCCAGTGCTGATCAGAAGCTCTGTACTAGCTGTTGCAAGCTTGCAGCCGAGGACCGGGTGGGGTGATTTTACTGTTTACCCTGGGATGCGGCTGCAACCAAGAACCAACCAACCACTGCCGGTACCCGGTACGGCACGAGAAGGCCGCTGATTTCGCGACCTGTGGCGCGGCGGTGTCCACGCGTCTGCCCGGATCTTTCTTTAGGAGGACCGCCCGTGCCGCGTCCTGCTTGCTCGGCCTCGAGCCACGCAGAACGTACACACGGGCCACCCCGGCCCATTGCCGTCGCGGTCGCGGTCGCCGTCGCCGGGCAGCTCCTGCTCCTGCAAAAAGAGGCACTCAGCAGCTCGCAAAAGGCGCTTCGACAAACGCGCGCGCCGCCGCCGAAAAGGCCACGACGCTCTTTCGGTCTTTCCTTCCATGCATCGTTCGGTGCCATTGTGCCACTGATCAGTGGTCACACACATTTCAGTAGAGAACAGGGTCCTGATTCCTCGAGCCTGAGCTCGATCGACCCTGCACTTCTCCGTTTCTCACTGAACTCACCCTCCTTTCGGCGATGCTCCGCGAGCCCGCGACGGATCGAGGCGTGGCAACTGGCAGTTGGCATCACCTGATGGCGCCCGTCGGAACGGAACGGGGCGGCTCGAGCACACGCGCAGGAGTCGGGACCGCGAGCGCGAGAGGCATCCGCGCCCGTCGTCGGCCCGTCCGCGTCCGCGAGAAATTCCCGTCGGTTTGGACCTTTCCTAGCTTGCGGATGAAGCGGGGGACCGGACAAGAGCCGAGCCGAGCCGAGCCGGTGTCAGCGTCGCCGATGATGTCAGCCGTCCCATCCGCTTCTTTGCATATGCCGTTGCCATCCAAGTGCGAGCCAGGCTTCCTTTTCTTCTAGAGGGAAAGGGACAGAAGAGAAGCTTCCCCGTCATGGATAAAGGACCCGTCGGCCCCTACCTGTGGCCAACTCGGCTGCTATACGCGGTGGACGGTGACTGACGATGCGCACCGGCCGCCTTGGTATGGTAGTAGTTGTGTCCGTGTGTGTGCCGGACCTGGACGGGAACGTGCGTACGCGACTTCGTCAGGGGTAGTGGGGAACAGTGGAGTTGCCAAGGAAAGTTCAGCGTCTTCGCTGCAGGTCGGTCGCCGGCGCCGCGAACACGAACTGGTCCTGGTGGGCTGCTGCTGGTGGAGGTGGAGCTTGCTTTGCGATGCCCTGGGAGGACACCATATGGAGGCTGCGGCGGGCACCGGGCAATTCATGTGATTTCCTGTTCGCCGGGTCATATTTGATTTATAATTCATGGTTTATCAGCTAACGAACAATATTTTTCTCTCACATTAAACCAGCTAACAAAACTTTCAGCCATGGCTTATAAGCTAAACCAGCCCAAACGAACAGGGCGTTGCTCTCTGTCCATGGCTTCATCTTTGGTTGCTGCAGTCAAATGGGATCGGCTGACGTTGGCGGGTTAGGTTTGGAGGTTTTAAATCCGGAAATGACGGGCGAGAGATCTTTCAAGCGGCTTGCGTCTGCTTGCCACCAGCACGAAATTTTCATGGATTTTATTAGGCCCTTGTAAAGAGCTGAGCTGATGATATGTTTAGTTTATCTGGAACAGGCTTCATCTTTCTCTTCCGTGCAACGCATGACCAGTCTTCACCTGCAAGGCGCTGCAACGACATGCACGCATGGACTCGTTTTTCTCCGGCAGGCAGGTGGAGTTGGAGCAAGGGGGGTAATGACTAATGACAGTTAAGCCTTGTTCATGCACGCCATGCGTGCCTTGAGAGAAATAATCCTTGTTTCCTTTTGACTTTTGCAGTGTTAGTTGTGTTGCGACGGTTAGACAATATATTAACCAAGCTCACTCACGTGACCGACTTAGCTTCAGGATGAATCGACTAGAAACATTTGTTCTTACCAAGACTTACGGAACAGAGAACACTCTCTCTACAAACGCACGTGTCCAGTCCCTATGCAGGGTTTATAATTTTGGTTATATCGGTCACCCCAGGTAAATATATACCGCCAATTTAGATTTTGGTTAGGAAAAATTCCTTCAGATTTTAGTGCAATTCTGTCTCTCTCTCTCTCTCTCTCTCTCTCTAAAAAACAGAAGTTTCTCCTAGTCCGCCTCCTTAAAAAAGAAGAGTGAAATTCACTTCATGTTCCTGAATTTGTCCTCAAGTGTCAGATACATCCCCAGAGTCCCTATTTGCAATTTGTTCCTAGAGTTTGTTTGGTCTCCCCATACATCCAAACGGGTCTAAACCTGGCCCGGTAGCTGACATGGCTATATATGTGGCGTCCACCGTGGATGCGACGCGCTGACGTAGCGTGGTCCGCTGACCAGTGGGGTATTTGGCCCATGCCCCACGTGCACCCGCCTTCTCCACCCTCATTATGTTCTTTCGCCTGCCTCCTCGCACTGACTTTTGCAGTGTTTCAGGTTAATGGAGGCGGGCAACGCAACCGCCTCCATCGAAAGGCCTCGGTAAATCATGAACTACCGAGGCGGTTGTTATGCCTGCCTAGATTAATCAATAAAAAAAACACTAGCGAGCCCGTCGGTGGGGCCCGTTGAGCCCATCGACAAGCTCGCCGAGCCCATCCGAGCGTGCGCCGCCACCGCTGCCGGATTCACGCATGCGTCGCCGCTGCTTGACATGCCCGGGCCAGATTCGGCGCTCCCGAACGCGAGCCTGTCGTGCCGCCGCCGCCGGAGGGCCGGATCGAGGGCGCCGCGCCGCCAGAGGGAGGAGAGAGAGGGAGAGGAGAGTGAGGGGCGCTGTGAGGGAGAGGGGCACCACGCTCGGGAGGGGAGAGACGCTGGGAGGAGGGGCTCTGTGAGGCTAGGGTTAACCCTAAGTCTGAGTTATATATGAGCCTGGTAGAAGGGCGGAGTTGGGCTTTGCCAGGGCTCGGAGTTGGGCCATTATTTTCGGAGGCGGACCTTATAGTGTGTCCGCCTCCGAAAATGGATTTACGGAAAATAGAACAATTTTCGAGGCAGTCAGCTTAAAACCACCATTTCTGTAAATCTATTTTTGGAGGCCGGTATTTCCTGACCGCCTCCGTAAATAAATCAATAGTCTCCGTAAATCTATTTTGTGAGACGGTCATTTTTTATGCCTCCGTAAATATAAATGATCGCCTCCGTTAATCACGGGTATTTTATGAGGCTGTTGAATTTTGTGATGGGCAGTGCCTCGTAAAATTATTTTTGTAGTAGTGTTGACTTCTCCGTTTACGGGAGGCGGGTGAAAGAACAGAATGGCGGGGGAGAAGGCGGGTGCACGCGGGGCGTGGGTTAAACACCCCACCGATCAGCGGTCCATGCTGCGTCAGCGTGCCGGATCCACGATGGACGCCACACATACATCCACATCACCTAACAAGTTAGGTTTAGACCTGTTTGGATGCCTGGTGAGACCCAAATAAACTCTAGGGACCCAGAAATTGAAAATTGGGACTTTGGAGACCTAACTGACACTTGAAGACAAGTTCATGTACCTGGAGCGAATTTCACTCTTAAAAGAACGTTAGGATGAGCCCCATCTCTATAGGCACTCCCAAGAAAATGAACCGATAAATCCCAAGAATAATGTCATTTCATTGTATTTCACTGCATGCACAATTTTAATTGCTCCTTGAGCTCAACGTCATGTATACTAGAAGTGTCGGTGCAGAATATGACCAACTAGTAAATATTTATAGTTTTATCGTACGTTGTGATCGTGGGTGGCCTAGCACTCAATGACACAGGGTTTATATTGGTTCAGGCAACATGCCCTACATCCAGTTTGAGTCAGTCGATGACTTTATTCCTGAGCCCAGGTGCTTGAAGTCTGCAGTGGGGTTACAAACGAGAAGGAGAAAGATGGGGTGTACAAGAGGTCCGGTCGGCTCCGGTCAGAAGGGCCGAGAGCGACAAGAGCTCCGCTATGAGCTAAGTGTTCAAGCGTGTGCTTGGGGTTCGAACCCGGCGGTTCTGTGGTTGCGAGCTAGTGAACTTGATCGATGTTGGTTAACTAAAAAGGACTAAAAAGGCTCTCCTTCATTGGAGGGAGCGCATCCCCTTTTATAGATAAAAGGGATGGCTTTACAAGTGAGAGGGTGAGGGTACATATGCTACTAGGCTCTGTTGCCCATGCCGATAGGTACAAGATAATGGTAGGCGCCTACAACACTGTTGATGTCACTGTAGAATGTCAGATGCACATGGAAGGTTGCGTTGCCTTCTTCAGAAATGGCAGATGTCGGTACCTGTGAATACTGTTGATGCCTAGAGACATGTGAGGAGTTTCACCATGTTCACCTAATACGGTAAATCCCGGCGCCCACAACACTATCGATGCCTAGGGGCATGTGGGGGGCCTTACCGTATGGGAATTAACGGCACCCACAATACTGTAG